TGTTGATGTTCCTCTTTTTTGGTAATCTCCATATTACCCTTAATTTCTTCTAACTGTTCATAGAGTAACGTTAACTGCTTCAACATCTCTTCAATAGCTCCACTCAATTGTCGTTTTTCTTGTAATTTTTTTTCTATTTTCATTTCACAATATTTCTAAAAAACGGTTTTCTTCCTTAATTTCTTTATATCATCATCTCCTTCATCATTTTTCAATACATTTTCAGAACTGATATATTTTATGCTGTTTTATAATTTAATGCGCTTTAACGCACCCACCCCCACACATATTACAGAAAAATAAAACTATAAATAAATATATATATTAATGAAACGCTATAAATAGAAAAAAATATTAATGAAAAAAAGCTTAAAACTTTTATAAACTTTGCTTATCTTTATCTTTTTTTTTTCTACTTTTTTTTTTCTTTACTCGACAAATCCATCTTTTAAACTATTTGTGTTTATTCTTTTCATAAGTACAATTGAATTATTTGATCAGCGAATGTAACAAAAAAAGAAAGAAATTGGTTAGAAAAGGGGGAAAAAAGAGTAAAGCAGATAAAAACTAAACTAGATGACAACCAAATAATTGTCAAGAAACTTACCAGAATATCTCGGCCTTGTTTTGCGGCCCAACCACGTAGTTGCAACTCCAATTCAGCTTTGGTCAAACTTTCATTTTCAACAATAACTGCCAACTCATTCCAAGCTTCTTTACTGATATTCTTCAGTGCAGAATCTGTATGTTTATGAACAATTTTTGGTGATGCATCACGATAGCGACGATAACTGTTTACTGATCCATACGGTTCATTGTTCTGATTTTGACCATAATAGTCCAACATAACAGAAGACCGGTCACTGTTTCGTTGGTTAAGAGTAAAAAAATTTCTTGACGAATAAACAGCATCAAAAATCGACAAGAAAAATAAGGAAAAAATTATTGAAGTTTTAATCATAATTTTTATCACTTTTTTCTTTCTTTCTTCTTTTTTTTTTTCTTTTCTTTCTCTTGTTTTGGAGAAGAAAAAGAGATTAAAAGCAAATTTTATGCCGTATTCAGTCAAACTGACTTATAAGAGCAGATTTTATATAGCAAAAATTTTTGCTCACTGTCTGACAACTGTTCTGTTTAGGCAGCTTTTACTCGATTTTTTTTTTATCATTTAAAATCACTGAACAACTGTGCTTTTCTTTTTTTTAGCAAAACTATTATAAAAGTAAAAAAAATGATCTTTTTTGAATTAGATTTTATAAAAAAAAAAAATTTAAAAAGGAAAAATACCGTTCGGTGACTTTTCAGCTTTATTGTATCAGACAAAAAATTACTGTTTATTACCAGTCTTTTTTTAAGTCAAAAAATTTCAATGAGGTGGAGGAATTTTTTTACTATTTTATTAATTTTTTTTTCTATTGTTGACTTATCTAATCGTTTCATCAGTTCCTTACTAAACTGTTGATGTAAACCGCTATATGGATACTTGGCTTGTTTTCATTGCTGACGCTTTGCTGTTGTGCTCAGCACTTTATTGACCGCTTCGATATAATGACCACTGTTTGAACAGTGGGATTATTTTGAAGCAGATGAAAAGCTTATAATAACTGAACACAAAATAAATGTTTGAATATTGAATAAAAGGTAGTTTAGGAGTAAATTTCTTCTGAATCATACAATTTTTTTCCATATAACTTTATTGGTTGGATCATATTTCAATAGTTTTATATGTTTTATTTAGCCAAAAAAAAATTGTAGTTAATTATGCCTCTGACGACAACAACAAACAACAAACAACAAAAACGATGAACTGTCAAAGGAGAAGGAAATTGACTAATTTTAGAAAAATCTGATGCAATAAATAGACAAAAGTTTTTTCCTTGTTTTTGACTAACCTCTTCTTTTGAGAAAGAAAAAATAGAAGAACCATATTGGTTTTACAGTTTGTAAAATGCAGAAGAAAAAATTTTTTTTTGCATTGCTTATTTAATGTCATAGTCTAATTTTGCTGGTTTTTTTTTGTTTAATTCTGTGGACCAATGCAATATTCGTTAATTAAGCAAAAAATTATTGCAAAACTCTTAGGTTTTTTTTTTACACTTCTTTTCCCATCTATATGTTTCTTTTCTAAACATACGATCAAACATTTTTTTTTTGTTTGTTCTCAAGAAAGAAGAAGAAGAAGAAGAAGTAAAAGACAAAAAAAAAACTGCATCAATTTGTTCTGAATTATTCGACATCAGTCTGTAGCTATTTTGAAATTGCCGATGAGTTTAAAATGTCAATTTGCAGTTGTAACTTCGTTGAGAAGAAAGTTTTCTTTTTTGCTTAGAAAAAAGAGGTTGCACAAAACACTGTAAAAATAAAATTGAAGTTTAACTAAAGCAAAAGATTATTGAAAAAATTTTTTTCCACATTTTTTTTGCAGTATTCTACAACTGAAAACCTATGGTCAAGAATATTATATTGGCAATGGATAACAAATCAATGAAAAATTTATTTCAACCACAAACAGAACAATTTTGATATGCGCAATTGTAACAAAAAAAAAAAAAGATCCTCATAAAAGATGTGGCTTAATGCTTAGAAATATTTCTAACTAAAAAAAAAAAATCCTTTTTTTATTAAAAAACTTTTAACACAGATTATTTTTTGAACGTTTTGAGACCAGTAAGTATTTTTTTTGTCTTGACGACGGCATCTGTCTTTCAGATCTTCTAAACTTCATGGTGACTCTTTTGATCAACTGTTCAACCAGCAGCAGCATACAGTTCTAAGATAACAAAAAAGTATGATTTTGATTACATTTTTTTTACCTATCCATTTTCTTCTGTGTGTATATCTATGCGTTTATATTTACTGTTAATATCTGAATTTAAAAAAAAAAAAACCAATATTATATATATATTTTTTGCTCAAATACTTCTTTATAAAATCAATATAATCAGAATAATTACACTATTATAATTTCAGTTTTTTATATTTGTTTTACATATATGTTCTTTCCAATTCTTTTTTTTTTCCATTTTTCTTTTCAAATGACTCGATTACTCTTTATAAGTTCCACAAAAAAAAAAATTTGCTCACACAAATTCAACATAGCTTCTCGATCACGTGTTTTTCTTCCCATTTCAGACTAGCATTACGCCTTTTTTTTTCCCCCTCCTTTAGTCTCTAAAGCTGACTGCAGTTGCTGTTGTTGTTTCTTCTTGTTTCAAAAGAAAAACTAAACTTTCTAATTTTTTTTTGTGAACTTTTAATGACTGATGAGAATATATCCATAGGTTAGCAGAATCAATATAAAAGAAAATATGCACAAAATTGAAATGAAAAATAAAACAAATCAAAGTTTGATTATAAATAACAACAGCAACGACAGCAGCAACAACAGCCTTTTTTCTTTTTGGGATCAAACAAATCTTATTTGAATTTTTCCCCCAATTTTCCCAACCACATAAAATTTATTGCAGCAAAAGTTGAAATAATCATCGGTTTTCCCAGATAAGGTGATCAAAATATATACAATAAATTCTTTCAACAATTCACTAATCTTGAAATTGTTTTTATTTTTTTGTATATTAATTTAAAAAAGACAAAAAAAAAAGGAATATGATCAAATAATTTGAAAATAAAGAGTAATACTGTTGTGAAGAAGTAAATTCAAAGAGTTTTTTTTCTTGTTTAATTTGTGAATTTTGGCAATCATCCAACATTTGGAAAGTCGTTCTAATCATTCATTTTTCAACCATTCCGCTAACAACAGATTAACTGTCATCTTAAGAAACGGTACTCCACTGATATAATTGCTTTTTGATTGCTTTTCCTCATTATATTCTGCTATCATAGCTGCTTAAATATTACAATATCATCCAGGTATTTTTTTTTTGTTTTTTGATTAATTTGAAGTGCTTTGAACAACAAGAAATAAGTCCACTTTTTTACATTAAAATTGACTATTCCCAACCACAGTTGTTGATACTTTGATGATTTTTAAAGTTTGTAGTTGAAACATTTGATTTCTTTACTCTAAAAGGTTCGTTAATTATTGTTCATTTAACAGTGTTGTAAAGGTTTAGTAAATGAAAAAAAAAAATTTAGTACAAGAAGACAAAATTCTAGAAAGATCATTGTGCAGTGGTTGTAAAGTTGTTTGATCTGTTACAGAAAAATTTCAATATCTAACCAAAATTTAGTTCCGTCTTTTCTTCTCTCTGCCTTTTTATAACTAACTGATCAATTATTTTTTTTTTTATTTAGTTATTACTAAAAATAAATACTCATTACCTATTTTTTGTTTATAAAAGAAAAAGCTATTTTTGGTGGTTTTATTAATTGGATTATTTCGGGAATAATCAATTAAGCAATCGTAAACAGTTGTTAAGAGTGTGAAAAAGTTATGAATGATATGACAAACGACAACTACAAAAAGACAACAAATTTTAGTTTTGTTGTTAATTTTATTATTACTTACTTTTGCTGCACAGTTTTATATTTTAATTTAAAAACTTGTACTTTTACCAAATAAGTTGATCAGAAATAATGTTAATTAATCAGTTGAAGGGTAATAGTTGAGTGAGGCTGTGTAATTGAATTTTGCTCAACTACACACACACACACACACACAGTTTGCTTTTGCTTTTTGCTTTGAGTATTAAAGTTGTCTAAACAAAATTACACTTTTATGCAGTATTTTTTGTGGATAATTCAAAACAAAGTTTACTTACTTTAATTCTTACTACCTGAATTTTTTGATTTACAAAAAAAAAGCCGATTGTCAAACTTATAATAACTTTTCTCTTTTATAATTCAAATTTTATCTTTTACTTTTCTACAATTTCTTCAATTACTGTTACTTACTCTGTCAGATATTTAGCTGCAAAAAATTTTTATCTTTTTTGTTTTTTTTCTGCTTTGACAAATTTACTGTTCTTTTCATGAGCCTCTTTTTTTTTTGGCTTACCAATATAATGTGCACAGATTTATTTAGCTAATTTTGCATACAGTTTTTTCAGCTGCTATACGGTAGACTAATGTGTATAGGAAACATTGAAATCTGCACTAAAATGTCAATAGACAAAAAAAAGGAAAGATTTAAAAGAGGGGGGGGGGGAGGAAAAAAAAAGGCTTAAAAGTAATGAGTTTTTTTTTAACTAATTTATACTTTTAGTTGAATAAATTACTGCTTAAATTGGCAAAATGAAAGTGTTGTAAAGTGTTGTTAAAGTAAAACTGTTTTTTCTTATTGTCAACGATAGAGACCAATGTGTTGAAGCAGTGATAAACTGTTTGGGATACAGCCCTGTAATTGAACTGCTTTCCAAGAAACTGTTTACAGAGCATCTAATTTTAGTCCATCAAATAACCATAGTTTTTTTTTCAATAAAAAATATATATATATATCATTATTTTTAGATCGTCTAATTGCAATTCAAAAAATTTTCAACTTTAATAAAACTTAGTAAAGTTACTACTGGTTTTTTATTAATAGATTCATTCATAAAAATTAAAAATTTATAAACCTACTACATTTATAATTGCCATTTGGAGTTTCAAATTTTTTAGAAAAACCTACACTTTCCATCAGGCAACAGATGGGATATTACCTTCTGGAAAAGAGGTTGAGGATTGTGTGGAAAAAGAGAGATGGCAAAAAAAAAAAAAAAATTCTAATTAGTCAGACAAATCTGTTCGGAAACTACTAAAATAAATTTTTTATCGCTGAATTGTTTTAAAGTTTAAAGCTTTTTTTTTTTTTTTTAAAGAATTTGCTTTTTTTTTTTTCTTGCATTAAATGTTACCTTAACGTCGTCGTAGTACAAATCAATTTTTTAATACTATAAAAAAATGTTC